TTTTCATTTTCATTTGCATTGTTTTTATTCCTTGACACCTGCGTTTGCATTTAAAGTTGCATTGGGGTAGTCCACATTTAGATCCTTGCTTTTGCCTTTGTGCTTGCATTTGCCTTTGCATTTGCATCGCACGTGTGATCCAGGCTTAAGGATAATATATCATTTTTGTTACCGGGTAGTCTATTTTACTAACTCCAGTCAAAACTACTTAATTCTGGATCTTAGCACATGCATTGTTACAGAAATCGTTTTCAAGCAATAGTTTTGTTGAGACTTATAGCTTCTGAGAATGTTAAGACCGACTCTTTTTCTGGTAGTATGAAGTCTCCACACTTGTTCATGCCTTTGGGTGGGAGCCATTTCCGTTGCTCCTCCAAAGCCTCATTGACAATCAATGCCATTCCCTCAAGTTGGTGCAGTTCTTTGCGACATTGAAGAAACCACTGGCCCGGATTATCAGAAAGGAAATTGATGACAACGTAGCCCCCTGCGGAGACCATAACTGGGTCTTTTTTGATCGTGTGGTCATTCATAGAAAAATACATTGGCTCTGTCTTCCAGCTTGGTCTGGTTCAACCGCTTTTCACACACCCTTTTTTAGTACAGGTGATATCAGCGCAGTATATATCACTGTTGGGTTTTTTAAGAAAACGAGTGGTGTCGTTATACTCTGGATATCCAACGGCAACAACATGAAACGTATGGCCGTGCAGGTGAATTGGATGAGCACAGGGGAAAGCACCAATTGTTGAGAACACCATTTGAACAGTTTTGTCAAAGGGAATATCGATCACAAGGACACATGAGCACTCGAGTGTTGATGCATTGCACTCAGCCCTAAGGTCGCAGATCGTGTCATGTGATGTAAAATTGTCATATTGGGTCAGGGGTGGAAAGGAGGGTAGAATAAAATTGCGCCCATTCAGTGAACTAGTTTGAGAAGTTAACGAAATGTCTGCAATCTGGGCATCCTTTGGTGGGGTTTGCATTTGGAAGTTCCTTAGGTCGAGCGGATTCAAGTAAACGCAAGTCGTGTACATTNATTTTACTAACTCCAGTCAAAACTACTTAATTCTGGATCTTAGCACATGCATTGTTACAGAAATCGTTTTCAAGCAATAGTTTTGTTGAGACTATTAAGACCGACTCTTTTTCTGGTAGTATGAAGTCTCCACACTTGTTCATGCCTTTGGGTGGGAGCCATTTCCGTTGCTCCTCCAAAGCCTCATTGACAATCAATGCCATTCCCTCAAGTTGGTGCAGTTCTTTGAGACATTGAAGAAACCACTGGCCCGGATTATCAGAAAGGAAATTGATGACAACGTAGCCCCCTGCAGAGACCATAACTGGGTCTGTTTTGATCGTGTGGTCAATCATAGAAAAATACATTGGCTCTGTCTTCCAGCTTGGTCTGGTTCAACCGCTTTTCACACACCCTTTTTTAGTACAGTTGATATCAGCGCAGTATATATCACTGTTGGGTTTTTTAACAAAACGAGTGGTGTCGTTATACTCTGGATATCCAACGGCAACAACATGAAACGTATGGCCGTGCAGGTGAATAGGATGAGCACAGGGGAAAGCACCAATTGTTGAGAACACCATTTGAACAGTTTTGTCAAAGGGAATATCGATCACATGGACACATGAGCACTCGAGTGTTGATGAATTGCACTCAGCCCTAAGGTCGCAGATCGTGTCATGTGATGTAAAATTGTCATATTGGGTCAGGGGTGGAAAGGAGGGTAGAATAAAATTGCGCCCATTCAGTGAACTAGTTTGAGAAGTTAACGAAATGTCTGCAATCTGGGCATCCTTTGGTGGGGTTTGCATTTGGAAGTTCCTAAGGTCGAGCGGATTCAAGTAAACGCAAGTCGTGTACATTAGTACAAATAATGTTATATGAAGGATGGAAGTCCTCAAATGGCCAGGTCACCGCTCTGCATTTATTCTCCTGGGTGCACTCTCTGCGAGGAGATTTGTTTTTTATTTTTTTACATTCACTCTATGGTACATTATCATCCGGATCCAAACCGTCGTCATCCTGTTCAAAGTGCAAAATAATTTCTGCCTATTGTAATCATGTACTAGAACTGTTCCTGAAGTAACTAAGCGTTTCGATGAGCTCCAAAAACATCATGGTCTCTTAGGGGTAAAGCCTAGCCTATGAGAAACCTTTCTCAGTGTACTTTTCGTGGATCCTGATGAGACTGTAGCCATACAAGTGAAATGGGGATTCAACGATGAAACTCAGAGAAAAAATAGTTGAAAAATAATTTTTTTTTCAAATATCAATAAACAACAACCTTTATTTTTTTTCTCAGTTCGTGAGCGGGCAGTATTCTGCAAATCCTGCGATCTGATTGGTTCTGAGAGCGGGTAGTATTCTCCCATCCGGTCCGCTCACTGCGGGCAGTATGCGTTTCGCTTGAGTCACTTTGCAGAACATCTCAAGCTTCGTTGCAATTTTTCACAAATATATTTTTCGATATTTCAGCAGATTTCCGCACATTCTGTAGTAAAACACAACCAAAACAAAGCAGAGGAAAACCTTGAATATCCGTTCCTAAACACTGAGAGTGAGGGTATATATCACAACTTGTCAGCGATAATAATTTGTACGACATATATTGCTTCTCCTTAAAATGAGCAGATTGGGGCAGTTGTCATTTCCGAGTGACAGGAACAGAGATATTTTGAATCATCTGAAAGATGTTAGAAAACTGCCAGAAAATTTGCATAAGACATGATAACGAGAGACTTATCACCGTCGCAGTGCAATCGAGTCAGTCAATGCTTCCTTCCATGTCTTGATCAAGAAAAAA